CTCATAAAATATTGCTGTGCAGTGTATTCTTGAGCTGTGTCAGTAAGCTGAGATTTTGAAGGGGAAAGATGCTGCCAAAAAACAGGACACATTTTATAAATTGTCTTCTGTGTGGCTTTTACAATCACTTCTAAAATTCTGGAATTAATTGTGATTTTATTTTATTTTTTCATGCAGAAAGACAAACCTTAATTTGTTACAGGGCAACAGAGCTCATGACTGAGGAGTCAGTTCATCATGACTATAAATATTCAGCCCTGAAATAAATAGCCCATGTTCCTTTTAGTGTACTTGAATGATTGGTGCCAGCTTTACAAGAGAAACTCTATCGGATCTTTGGGTCATTTTTGCCTTCAAATGTCTTGTAGGGGTTATTTTTTTAAGTCATAGAAAAACAATATTGTGCATCATGCTTTTTAGAGAAACTGTTTTTAGTAATTTGTGCATGTTCCCTTCATAAAAATAGTTGAAAATATGTTTCTGAAGTTTCATATTAATGTATTCAAGAGAACATAACAAAATTATGACTTGAGAAATCGGTGGATAGTCCAAGGCCAGATTTTTGACTGTCCTGTTTGTTTTGTGTAGGCAGCATGGCACACCTCACCCCAAGAACCTAGAATTTCAGAAGTGGTCACTATCTTTTGATTCTTTTTCAAGAAAACGGAAAGGTTTAATGCTTTCCTGTGCCTTCTGGCATATTAAAACTATAGTAAATCTTCCTGCAGCTACAACCACAAAAACAATGCTGCATCTAGCATTTCCCATGGGAGAAAAAAAAATAAAATAGCCCTGTCAGAGCTGTTCAAGAACTTCCCTCTCTGACAAAGTCCTGGTGCTGCTATTGTTTTTACTCAAACTCAGCTGTGATTTGCATCAGTGAGATTTTGGGGTGTACTTTTTGTTTTGTTTTGTTTGTTGCAAATAAGAGCTGGTCTCAGCTAAGTATGTCTTGTGGTTCTGTAGACATCCCAAGACTCCTGACAGGGAATGAGAAGACAGCATTCCATAAAGGCCTCCAAATCCTGGAGGCTGTGTGGATTGTGGGAAATCCTGTCTGTCGGGCAAAGTGCCACCAGTGTCAGCAGTTACCAACATGAAAGATGCAAAAATCAGTCTTTTCCCCATCTCCCTTGGTAACAACGTTGCTATTTTAAAACTTCATCCTTTTGGCTCTTCTGTTTGCCTTCTGTTTTTTGAAATGGGAAGATGCACTTTTCTTTCCTTCAGGAAGTTACTAGGGCTAAGAAGTTACCTTTTTTAATACTCTCACATGTTCAGTTGAACCTACACAACTCGGTAATACCTATTCTCTCCTTTTCTAGATAACCATCCCACTACATTGGGGGTGGTCACCAGAGGGACTTCTGCTGCTGATTCCCCAGAAAATGAATGGGAGACATAATATAATGTCCATTTCTCCATGGCAAAAGCCCCAAGACCATGAAAGTTTGTGGAAATGCAGATAACACTGGCTAAAAATAGAGTTTGCTGAATACCCTAGATTACTTTTGGTTTTGGCAATAGATACACCAGACTTCTGGTATCGGTTATGCTCCTTCCTTTTACACAAATCATCGTTGGAGCTTTTACTCAGGATGCTAAAGATGGTGCCTCTGTTTCCTCCCTGCCTATGGGGTTCCTACTGGTACCTACTGGTAGAGAGTCCCAGCTACCAAACTGCCAAGGTTCTGGTTTCCAGCCATTAGCTATTTAATTACTTATGCAAAGTGGAAACATTTTAAGGGATGAAATCTAGAATACCCCTCCTTCAGGAAAAGGATAGATACAGTGGTATTGTAGAAGGAGGAAATACAAAGTAGGATCCCTTGGAACTGATGAAGAAATTGTCTTAGTACATCCCACAGCCCAGGAGAGAGCTCAGATCTCTGAGCTGCATTGCTATCAGGCAGATTAAATATAATTTGTGTACTTACATATGCTGTAAAACATGACACTGGCACAGTCTGCGTGCCTGGAAGTATGAGGATTAGCCTCACCTGGTCTGCTGTCAGACGGGCTTGTGTTTCACTTCAATTTTACTGGCAGGTGCTAACACGGTCACTTCTGCCAGCAAAGACAGGGGGTCCTGATGAACAGTAGCTTAAAACCTGAAAAATAGGTAAATTAAGACACAAGAAATCTTACAGTAATTGTTGCAGTTCTTTCAGTTTTACTTTGCTGTGCAAACAAAGAGTTAAATACTTCAAAGGCAGTTTCCTTTGGAGAATGTTTATTTGATCAAGTTCAGTGTGGCCAAGACCCCAAATAGAAATACTCGCTGCAAACAGAGCACCACTATGAAAGCAGGAATAGTCTGTGGCATTCCAGACCTCACAAGCTATGTTGGTTTGTTACACAGAGTCCAAACAAAGATGTCCCTTAAAACACATAGACATTAACTCGGTGTATTTCACACACCACAATCTTTTCTCTCAGGTCATTGGAGCTGTGACAAAGTCACTGAGATCCTGGATGAACTATAGACTTCTCAGTAAAAAGCATATGTGGTACAATTGGACCATCCAAGCTACTTAGATCATTAGAGAAGAGGCTTTGAGCGCTACTGCTCCTGTTTACTAAGCTTGAAGTACGACATCCTTTGGGTTTTGGAACAGGGCTCTTTGCTTCTTGAGTCCCTTTATGTTGCAGAAGGCAGGGTAAATGTCAAATGGAGCCTGGAAGATTTTGTTAGCTGGGGGGGGGGGGGGGGGGGAGTGTTGTTGGGTTTTTTTGGGGGGTCCTTAGCCTGAATCTTAAGACTTCTAATAAATGTGATAACCATTAAAAAAAGCGGTATTAGTACATGATGAGATACACCAAGTTCAACCGCTTGGTGTAACAGTCAAACCCATGCAGATGTTATTAGTACGGGAACCTGATATCATGCCAAATCTGGAGAGTTATCTTTGATCTATCTCCAGATCCTCCTTTTATTTGTAAACATCCAGCTAATCACAGACTTCCTCTGACTTTTATGAAGTGGAAGAAACTGCATCCTTTGCAACATCTCTGGAGTGCTTTAACTTTGCAGATGTTCATGGCTTTGTGTGCTGGGGAGGTCTGAGCTCCATCTGGTGGCTAACTGGAAACATCCGTATTTCGATTTAAAGAGCTCAAACCTTTCTACAGTTGAACAGAGTTCTACTGTGTGTGAAGAGTGAAGCAGCAGCTGTGCATTCCTAAAACAACTTCTGTTTTTAGGGTAGCTAGAGTCTGGGAAGAGGGCACAACATTTTACCTCTCTTCTAGCTTACTGTGAGCTAAAAGCTGTTGCCAATGCCAGCAGTTCTTTGGTGTTCACAGTTCTGTGTGTACTCCACAGCACCACAGCTGGCACTGATTAACCACATTTTTGCAGTCTCATCGGAAAAATGTAATTTAATATTCACAGGCAAGCCATCTTCCCACACTCAGAGGTGGTCCCACACAGCATAGTTGGTGTATTTGAGGGTGGTGGCATAAAGAAGCTCAGTCATGCTGCGTGAGCTGTGTGTTATCTGCAAATAACATCTTTGACTGTAAAATGCAGGCCGGCATCTTAATAAACAGTGATGTTAAACACTGATGGTGCACATGCATACTCTAGTTAGAATACCTTTTTTCTCCTTTGTTAGTTTACAAACAAAAAAGGCATTTCCTGACCTTTAGAGCTAGTCAAATAAGAGCTACTTTGAGATAACAGCATCAGTCCAATGAATTCCCTTCCAAGATTCAAAGAATGTTGTTAGGTAGACCCATGGACTTGCTGCCAGAACCAGCAGTACCTTGAAGCTAACAGTTTGCCCAAGACCTGCTTCCCCTTGTTCACATCACCCTCCTGGCATGAAACAAAAGTTGTTTGTCCCAGATTGCTTTTTTGCCCCCTGTGAAGTATGTGACATGGCACAGAGGGCAGAAATAGTACAGAGACAGTTCTGAGCCTGGCCAGATGTCACACAGGGCATCCCATAATGTGCACTGACGTGTGGAGCACCACTCTCAAGGCTTTCCTGTGCCGGGAAATTCAGCCTTGAGCTGGCCTTGAGGATGCTCGAGCAGGTAAGTAACGCAGACAGCTGATAAACCTGGCTTCACCTGCAGCCTCGAAGCCTTTCCTGCTCTGCAGTGTAGACACAACCACTTGGTCCAGGACTGCTACAGTGTGCACAGAAACATCAAGTGTAAATTAGCCATAAGTGGGACAGTTGTATACTTTGTACAATGTGATTTACATATCCAGAGAAAGAAGTCAGTGTACCAAGCAAAAAAACCCCAAACCTCGAGGGTTGTCTTTAAAAGTTACATCCACATGTTTCCAATTTCTTGACCGTTCCTGTCGGATACACAGCTGTTCATATTTCTCATAAATCAGTTTGGTTGAAAGAGACTTACAGGAAATGTAAATATTTATGTCATTTATCTGCATTTAATCTAAAATAAGATTTGGGGGGTGTGAATATATAACAGTCTCTGAGTTAGGCAAGGGGGAGGGGGGGGGAGAAAAAAGCAAACAGAGGTAAATATGAAGCATTAAGAAGTATTCCAGGGTATGGGGGTGTTCCAGGCTATGAGAAGTCTGGGCTGAAGGGAAATAATACTCGTGCAATTTTTTGAGCATCCACTAAGCCAAGCCATAAACCACTGCTGTAAAAGTAACACAGAGTATCAAAAATAACTTCTGGGAGGCTTGGGAAGTGTTCTTCAGCAAGTCTTCAGCTGTTTGGAAAGTGGAAGGCAAAGGAGAAAGAAACAAACAAAAGTTTCTGACACAGGATCAAAACATGGTTTAAGGTTAAGTTGTGTTTTGGTGGGGTAGGGGTTGAAAGAAAGGAACCGTCTGGCTTTTAAACAGAGTTCCTGAGTGTGGTGGGTGCTGTGAATGGAACTGCAGGATGGGTATTTAGAGCAGAACCCCAGGTAGTGAGGTGGGAGGGACCACGTGGTGCTAGCGAATGCAGTACTGGCCTGTGGGCTTCTGACTTTTAATATTTTTCTTGCATTTCTTTTCTGCATGGCAGTAGTGAAATAGGGACTTCTAAGCTTCTGAACAACTGAGAGAACCAGGTTTGAAGAAGACATGAGGAAGAACTGGTCGGCAAAAGATTTCATAAAAACTCAGAACCGCGTGTGCCAGATCTGAATTGGCACCACCTTTGCTTTTTTGACATACTGCAGCAGTCGCAAAAGACACCAAAGCAGTCAAATTAGAACATGCAGTAAAAGTTGGTTTGGACTCTTCTCTGTATTATAAAACTTACTTCTTTGTGACTATTATTTACATCTGTTAAAAACAAATTTGAAGTCTCTTTTTATGGAGCAGACAGCCAAAAGAGAGAGATGCCAGGTGTTAAGGGCTGCACCGAAATGAGTTTGCAGAGTTTGCTATTCACGTGCTGGAGTGCTCCTTTTCTGAAATGAGGCTTCTTAGAGTTTCTGTCAAAAACTGTTTAGATTTTTTAGTTCAAACATTAGAAGTGTATACTCATGAACTAAAACTTGTGTATTTTCAGACAGTTACAATGCTTAACTATCAAATGTTAAAAAAGAGAAAAAAAAATTAATCTGGAGTACAAGGTGAAAAAAAAAAAAAATCTTAAAAACTGAGGACAGAGGGTCCCTGAGGAAGGACAGGATGGTGAGAAAGATCCAGCTGACCTCATTCCCCCTGCTGCCATGATCATCATTTGCAAGCTGAAGAGGACCTTCCATGGAGCACAGTGCTTGCATGTGGCGAGTAAAGAAATGGTGCTCTGGTCTTATTACAAGAATGGTGAAAAATGTTTACTGACAAGGAGATGAGTAAATGTGAAATAATCTTCATGAGGCACAGGGTGCACCTTGATCTGGAGCTAAGCCTTGGAAAACCTGGCTTGAAGAGGAGGATCAGGCATTCACGTTCAGATTTGAGCATTTTAGGAATTCTAATGTTTCCAGCTAAATTAATGGGGAGGGGGGAAACCTAATAAAAAACTAAGGCAGTAAACGTTTCAAATTAGGACCAGCATGGATTAAAAAAATATTAATTTCTTTTGCATCCCCCAGACAACAGTTAACCAGATTGAGACATGTAAGCACACTAAACATGCTGATCTATATTCTGCTGTAGTTACACATATTACTAATTCTACTCATGACTATAAAAGGATGTTTCATTGTTCAGTATGTTATCTCAAGAAGAGTCTGTCTATGATTTTATTTATAATCGGCATCGTTTTCATTGCTGTTGTTATGAAGTGTGTACAATATTGTCTGTATCGCAGCTTGTACAGGGCATGTGTCTGTGCTTGCTTTACTCTTTCAGTTTATAAAGTTGCTATACAAATGCAAGAAAAGATGTTCAGATATCTTCAAATGTGGTTGCTTAATCGAATATACATAGCTTAGAACATTTTGGTGTATAGATGTTGAAGGTATCGGCTCTATTAACACATAACACTTTAATCATTAATATAGACATTTTAAAAGCCTTCCGTGCAGCACTGGAATGCCAACACTTCTGTCCCAGTGGCTGTGCTGAAGCAAAGGGGAAGACAGCGAATATCTGGGCAAAGCCAGATACCACTGGGGACTCTGCAGGGAGAAGGTACAATACAGCTGGGAAGTCTCATAGAAAATGGGATGTCCTTTCCACAGAGGACAGGAAGGACCTTCATGGTTAGGACCACCACAAAGCAGAGGAGAGAAGGGACATATGTTTGTAGCATCACCTAAAGACAGGCCTTCAACAGCATCCTAAGCGTAGGACATGTAGAACAGGCTGTGACTGTTCTGAAACTTAGCAATTATTTGTAGTCTATGTAGAGTATCAGTGAAAACATTCCAAGTTAGTTTTCATCATTTTTAAAGCTTATTCTGTGCTTTGATACAGTATCTTTAATAAAGTATTCTTACAAATCTGCTTATTATTCTCATTTAATTCCATTTTATACCTGAGTTAGTAACAGTCCCGGCAACAGGGTGAAGCTCCAGTTACCACCTGCTTCATCTGCTCCCGTGTTTTTCCCACCCACCTGCTAAGAATGACAAGAGGGAAACTTGAGTAAAAAAATCAAATAATCATAGGAATGAGAAAATAAGAGAAAGTTAAGCACTGCTACAGTTCCATTGTTATAAAAATTATTCACATTAAGCATCTACGTGAATCTGATAGATTAATCAAATTATATTGATCTCTGAGTATGAAGTATTGGTCTTTACCTGTGTTTGCAGTACACCATTTCCCTTGTTTAAGACTTATCATCATTTTCCAGCATTACAGTTACTGCCAGTAATTACAGTATGTTGTTTAACTCCATCCACAGCAGTTCTAGACAAAATTCTCTGTTTTAATTTATTCATCCCCTGGACCATATGAAGTATCCTTTTAATATCTTCAGACAAGACCAAGCAGAGTGCGAGTTCAAGTACACTAGAAGATTAGAATTCAAAATAATCCTGGCAAGGTGCAGACATGATCTGGAAACATGTTATTTAAAAGGAACAAGTGCAAGCTGGAATAATTAGCTGTGCAAGTAAAGGAACAGCTGCTTAATTTCCATCAAAAAGAATCAATGTGTTATTTTGGATCAAATTCTGAAAATGAGTCTGCAATGTCATGCTCTTGCAAATAAAGGTAAAAACTGAAATGTCTAAACTGAAGTGTAACTGCTCCTTCAAAACTGCTGAGGCGTGAGCTAGTAACGTCTCCAGTTTTGATCATGACACTTAGAAAAATAATATACAAGTTGCATGCAGCGAATCCAGGAGAAAGCAACGAGAAAATCTAGAAGCCAAGAAAACTTTGCCTTTGAGTACAGATTGAATGATTTTAGGTCATTTTACAGAAGAGGTGGTGGAGGGGAAATATGGTGATTTTCATATATATAAAAACTACTTGCAAAGAAAAATGGAAAAATGTTTTCTCATATCCACAATCGATAGGAATAGAAATAATTGCCTTAAATTGCAAGAAAGGAGATTTTGCTTAGATACAAAATGAGACTACATGACCCACTGAGGTCCTTTTCTGATCTGATTCTATGCTTACTTGCAAACTATCTGTTTTAAGTCCCTTATTTATTACTGTCAGTAGAGCTGAGACTGGCTGCAAGAAAAGGAGGCTGCAGTTACAGGAAAATAAAGATCTGAGTGCCTAAAATGCACAGCACACCAGTTTATCTGGTTAGCACGAGTGATACTAACCTCAGCTTTTAATCTTGCCTCAGCGAACTGTCAGAAGTCTATGTAAATAAATGCACTTTAAAACCACTTAATTATAAAATAATTATTCCTTGAAACATCAAGGATTAGTTTAATCAGTGTTGACAACTTCCATGATTTTATTGAGTCTAATCAATCTGAGGCAGCCTGTCTTTAGTAGTGAGATGGTGTAATCAGCTATTTTATTTATTAAAATAAATTAGCTCTGTTAATTTAAATAAAATAAATTATATGGAAAATCCTCAAAGTGTTATCTGAACATATGCTAAAGATTAAAAAGCCAGAAGGTGAATAAAGCCACATGTGTTTTTTTAAGCTCATAATTTTAAACTAGGTTTGTAATTTTAGGAGATCTGACTCAAGATTTTTGAACTTTGGGTTTGGCAATACCAAATTACTGTGCCCTATATTCTGCTGTTCAGAATATTTCTGTATTACTGATCATGCATTTGCGTAATTTGCTGAAAACACATTATACTGATTTGCAGAACTTTATTTTGTTATTCTCAAAACCAAAGGAACATTTACTTAAGAAAGATCACGTATGGTGGCTGCCTTTCAAATTAACAAGGAGCAGCTGTGTGCAAAAAGTGGAGGTATATAAAAACAAAGTAAGACAAAGAAGTTACATAGTTCCCCTCACACACACACACTGGTTTTTAACACAACAGCACCTTGTCAGAAGACTGTGTTGTCATTTCATACACTGGTGTGAAATGGCTGAATTCTAATTACCAGGCATATATTCCCAAATATAAACGAGATGAAGAATTTCAGTGATTAAAAGGTATTATCATAGAATCATAGAATGGTTTGGATTGGAAGGGACCTTAAAGATCATCCAGTTCCAACCCCCCTGCCATCAGCAGGGACACCTTCCACTAGACCAGGTTGCTCAAAGCCTCATCCAGCCTGGCCTTAAACACCTCCAGGGAGGAGGCATCTACAACTTCCTTGGGCAACCTATTATGACAAAGTATTACTTGTTCTTAGAGCAGCTGTTGCTTTGACTTTTCTGAACTGCTGTATTATAAAATAATTCACCCATCCTCACCAATACAATCTGATTTATGCAATTTTCTGGGTAGTTTTCCTAGGGAAATTGATACTAGGGAAATGGATGTCAGGGAAATGGTTACCAGAATTTAAGGTCTAAGATCTTCTGATTGTCAAACCTGAACAGATCATTGCATTTCAGCTTTATCACTTTAATGATCCGAGTGGCTGATGTCTGATTGAACTGTTAACTTGTGTTCACTCCTATTTTTATATTATGTTGCCTTACGAAATATGTGGGAAAAAAAATCTTCCTTTTATCGAGATAAGAGATAAGGGTTGAGTTCTCAGTTCTGCTCCTGGTACTGAGCTCTTGCTTCACTCAAGAAATCTAAATATCATTTTCAGTTCTGGCTGGGTGGTGTAATGGGAATAGCCTACAGCGTATTACATAGTGCTGCCAAACAGGAAACGTGGGTGCATTATCGATCCTAAACACAAATAAATGCATCAGAAAGAGGCCTGCTACTTCCAGAGATGCCAACTCACTGTTCTGGAACTTACTATGAAAATATGGTTTGCAGATTCACGACTGGGGAATAACACCAAATGTTTTGTTAAAGGGAAAATCAAACTTGTGCTGAAGTCCTCACCATAAAGCTCACTCTTTAATTTCTGAACCAGTCGGTTTGGCTCACCTATAACATGACTGCATATGAAGCAACATAAAAGAAAATCATGTGTCTCTTCCCATATGAGAGGATGACTGCATAGATTAGTCGGTTCACAAATTGTGCTGTGAGTCTTAGAGAACTGCTGACAAAAAGCAGGCTTGTAATAGCTCTGCTGAGAAGAGAGAATAAGTCTAATGAGGTTTTAGAGGTTGCTCCCTCTAGTTAGACTGGACTTTCTCTAAGGACACCGGTAAGAGATCAGAGATGATGGCAAAAACATCACGTGAACTTCTGATTAGGAACAAAAGCTTAAAAAGCAGCTCAGACTTATACATATTGCTGTATGAGAAGAAAATAGAACCTGCGTGCTCAACTGGACAAGAAATACTTCTGCAACAGGCTAAATGAAATACTTGGTAGCTTGAGTCTACAGACCTTTTCATTTTTCCTAAGAATGGACACGAGTGTGTCATTTACACCATTAGCATTAAAATGGTATGCTCATACATTCCTCCAAGATTTTTTTCCCCAAATTTACTATAGCAAAACAACAATTCAAATGATGAAATAAATAGGACTGAGGGAGCACTATCGGAGTAAGTAGTAATCCAGTCGATGCAAACACCTCTTTAGCAGGTTATCAGCATGTCTGGATATCAGCACAACCATGCCAGGGCCTTACCGGTTATGGGGCAAAGGAAACCCCAAACAAGTTTTGTCTGGAGCTGTTGTACATATTTTGTGCCTGGGCTGATAAAAAGTATAGCTAAAAAAAGCTTTGGGTCAAATTAATGAAATGTCACTTCTAAATCTGATAAAACCTGTTTGATTACAGCTACACTTAGATGAGATATCAAAT